CGGCTGCAGCCCGCAGCATCCGTGGTGCTCTCAGCCCTGCAGGGCTGGGGCTATGACAAGGACAGGGTTGACAGGGGACACTGAGTGGGCAGAGGTGTGCAGGGGTCCCATGAAGCTGCAGGGTTGGCTCAGACACATGACAGTAGTGGGTCCCAAGGATTCTGCCCAGGGTGAGAATGCTGGGGACAGACCTGCCACCACCACCACCCCGGAGTAGAATGCAAGACACACACATTGAACACTGGGAAAGGTCAGGGCAGCCCCCTGCTGCGATCTCGGCCCCGCCTGGCCACACCAGGGGAAGCCAGGACTCCATGGACAGCATCTCGGGCAGGGCCACGCTGGGGTCTGGGTGGGTCCTTTGATGGAATCCCCTGCTCTGCCTCTGGGGCGCCCCAGGACTGGAGGCCACAGGACAGAAACCAGATGACCTTGTGCAGGGACCAGCACATGGAACTGGGATAAAAGGAGTGGGCGTGGCCCAGAGCTTTTCCCCGCTGAGGTCTTTCACAAGGAAGGGGCAGGGGTGTGAACTGCTTCCGAAAGGTGGGGTCACTTTGGTGCCCCCAGTGACCTCATGTGGCAGATGGGCCCCCCGCTCTGCTCTGAAGCTCCTCCAGGAACACTGTGTCCCCTGCTCCGCCTACACAGTAGTTTCATTTTTCCAGGGTCCTGTTCGGATGTTCCCAGTCCCATCGGTGCCAAACGGCAGGTCTTCTAGCAAGTTACCCTTGGGCAGCCCGTTCTGGCTGGGGCCACCAAAGGGCAGGGACTGTGTCCTCCGCAGCATCTCCAGGTGACCAGGCCCAAGTGCTGCCTCCCTGCCCGGCCGCGTGGGGCAGCTGTAGAGGGCAGGGCTCCCATCGCTGCCCTCAGGCTGGCTGACCATGGGGAAGGGGTCACCCTGGGCGCAGCAGGCCAGCGTGTGTGCCCCTGCCGGGCCATCCAGAGAGCTGGGGGGGCTGTCTGTGCACGAGCTTCGGGGGCTGCCGTACAGGCTGGACGGGATGTGGTAAGCGTACTCGGGCTCCTCTGCTGGGTGCCGGCTAAAGTAGGGCGGCTTAGTTCTGCCCTGAAGGCATCCGTGCAGGTGGGGGTCGTGCCCGAAGGCACCCTCCTCCTGCGCGTGCACGTGTGCCTCGTCTGCCATCAGTGGCTCGCCGTGCATCTTGGCGCAGCACGGGGTGGCCGGGGACAGACAACTGGCGTGGCCCTGTGCGGCCTGCAGGTTGGTCATCTTGCAGGGTCCCGGTGGGTGCGCGAAGCCCCGTTGCTGGCCGAGGCCCGGCGAATGCAGGCAGGCGGCACGGCCCAGCGCGGCCCCGTTGGCATCGAGCGCGGAGTGGGCATCCCTGCAGGGTGGGCAGCATGCCCACTAGCACTGCCACACGTCCTCGCGCTTGGCGCAGTGGTGGATGAGCACGAAGAGCCCCAGTGTCACGCAGAAGGCGCCGTACAGGCAGCTGAAGACCATGTCCAGGAAGTGGCCCTGGGACACCGCCAGCGCCCCAAAGGCCCACGTGGCCGTGAACAGGAACAGCGTGAAGGCGGCAGCGCGCAGCTGTGCCTGGAACGAGTGCTCGTTCTGCAGCACCGAGGCGCCAGGGGCATCACGTGCGGGTGGGGTGCCGGGCGGGATCCCACGGCTGCCCTCGGGCGTGGCCAGCCGCCGCTGCTCCTCGGGCTGTGCGCGCATCTCGTACCTGCGCCCTGGGTGGCGCCGCAGCTGCACGTAGGTGCCCAGGAAGTACACGCAGGTGACCAGGGCAATGACGGCGGCCGGGCCGTAGAAGGCGCCCAGGCTAGGCTCCCAGGCCATCCAGCAGCTGTGGGGAGACGCACGTCAGCGTCAGCTGGGCCAGCACGGCCAGGACTCAGGACTCAGGACTCAGGACTCAGGACTCAGGACTCAGGACTCCTGCAGAGCAAAGGGCCCCGCACCCGCCTGGACCAGCAAGTGGCTTTGCACAACTGCGGCTTGGGGGCCTTGGGCGCTTCTAGAGTCGCTGAGAGTGTGGATGGGAACGGGGCCCTATTGGCCCTACCAGCTTGGGAGGTCGGGGAGCCAGGAAAGTGTCCCAGGTGTGGGCGGAGGTGGAGCCGGGCGGGGGGCCAGGTGCACGGTGGGCCTGGGTGGGCAGGAGCAGGGAGGACAGAGCCGGGTGGGTGGGGCCGGTGTGGGGTGGGTGGGGCCAGGAAGAGGCAGCGCTAGGTGGGCGGGGCTGAGCAGAGGGCGGCGCCGGATGGGTGGGGCCAGGCGAGGGGGTGGAGCCGGGTGGGCGTGGCCGGCGTGAGGTGGGCGGGGTCAGGTGGAGGTGGAGCCGGGTGGGTGGGGCCAGGCGGAGGGCAGGCGGGCGGGCCATCCTGGGGCCACAGAAGGAACTGAGGGCCTGAATCAGGGGTTCCAGGCTGGCTCTGGGCACCGATGGCGGGACGGCTGGGTTGGTTCTACTCTATGGGGTTTCCCTTCTCAGCTGAGCTCCGTGCTGCTGCCAAATCGCTATTTGTCCCCAGGCCCCTCCCATAGAAGGCTAACCAGGCCTGACTCATCCAGAGGCAAAGATTAGGTTGGGGTCCCTGGGAGAGGAGGGGGCACTGCGCACTCCTCGGGGGCGCGAGCTGGGATGGGCGCAGCTCTGGGCGAGCCCCAGGTCCAGGCCCAGGCCTTGCTGCTTCGTCCTGGTCTCCCCCACTGCAGGTGCCCGGGAGGGACTTCGGGCAGAGCCCACCCGCTGCTCCCAACTCCCAGCTCTGGGCGCCCGGTACTCACTACGCCGCGTCCTCGTCCTCTGTCCCGTAATTCCTGATGTTCGTGGCAGCCGTGACCCCACAGATGATAAAGGGGACCCCTCCACTGACGAGGTAAAACCTGCCGGAGAGGAAGGCGCTGACCCCCTTGCAGTCGCTGCCTGCATCCTCCGGGGACAGCGCTGTCCCTCCCCCACTCCGCGGGGCAAGGGAGAGCGGCGGGCGCGGGCGGAGCAGGAGGGGACCAAGACCCCCGACCCCCGACCGCTGACTGAGCAGCCTGTGCCGGCCTCGCCTGGCCTCCCGCGGGCCTCTGCGCCTGGAGAGGGCCCTGGCCAGGTCCCGGAACAGGTGGGCCCCGGGAGAGCTCTATTAGCTGCTGATTTCTCTGCAGCTGCAGGGAGCCCCTGGCTGCAGGCGGGACCGCTCCCCGGGGCGGCGTGGGGACACAGGGAGCTGCGTGTCCCACTGAGCCTCCAGGTCATGGCCCCTCCCCACGGGTAGTGCGCGTGGCCAGTGACCCGTGGTGCCCCGTTTTAAACAGTTTTAAAGCCCCGCTTAGCCTCAGGGGAAGAAGTTGGGAAGGCGGAAGTCTCTGCTCCCTGTCAGACCCAGGAACCCTGCCTTGGAGGGGCAGTCTCATCCTGACAGGCGCGGCCCAAGCCCAGGGCAGGGGCTGACCTTCCCCTCTGCAGGGCCTGGCAATCGTGCTGAGGGCACCCAGGGGTCCATGCATGATGCTGTGTGTCCCAGACCAGGTGCATTTGCTCACCACCTCCAGCCCCTGGCCTGACCCATGAGACCCCCTGGCCGCCAGTCCTATGGAGCATGGGTGACCTAGGGGCCGGCTCAGAGACCATCCCCCATGGATGCTGTCTCCCCGGCTGCTGGGAACACCCAGGTCGGCCACGGACCCCTGCCCCACGCGTTCAGTGGGCTCCAAGGTGCAGGGGTGGGAGGGGTGGCCCTGGGTCTGGTAGTTCTCGGGGACCCCCCTAGGAAACCTGTGCTTCCCAGACTCTATATCCCAAGATTTCCTTCAGAAATAAAGATGAAATAAAGACACTTTCTGATAAGGGGACTCTGCGGGTCTAGGAAGCTGGGTTTCCTAGAAGTCCCAAGTTAGGCTCAGCTCCCTCTCTCCTTGGCGCTCCTAAACCTGCCATCTCACAGGCTCCTGGGTTAAAGTTGTTGACCATGGTTTGCGGGAGACGGCATCCATGGGATGGTCTGGGCCGGCTAGGGTCACCCATGCTCCCTTAGGACTGGCGGTCTCATGCAAGATGAGCCAGGTCCTGCTTCCCATCCAGTGGGGTGGTTGGACGTCTTCTCAGAAAATCAAAGGACTGTCTCTGGTCCGTCCCGCACCACAGCTGTGTGCCGTGGGTCCGTCCCGGACACTTCTGCATCCATGGGCCCCTCTATCTCACTGTCTTATCATCGACTTTGCCTGGCATCGGTGTCACCGCTGTAGCTCTCTTAATCTCACAGTTGGCATTGCATGGCTTTTTCCAACCAGTTACTTTCAACCTACTTGTGTCTTATATTCAGTGTTTCTATTCTAGTCATCATGTTCCATGAGCTTACTATCTATCCTGATAATCTCTGCCTTTGGATTGGAGCTTTTAGCTTGTTAAAATTAACTGGAATTTTGATTTGGTTGGATTTAGTCTACATTTTACTCTTTGTTTTCTGTTTTTACCACTTTAAGTGATTGTTTTGCTCTTTGGAATTCTTCCATTTCTCCTTTACTTCCTTCTTTTGGATTATTTTAACATTTTTAAAATTTTCGTTTTAATGTATCTATTAGTTTTTTTGTTTGTTTCTTTGAGATGGAGTCTTGCTCTGTCACCCAGGCTGGAGTGCAGTGGTGCGATCTCGGCTCACTGCAACCTCTGCCCCCCAGGTTCACGCCATTCTCCTGCCTCAGCCTCCCTAGTAGCTGGGAGTACAGTCACCCGCCACCACGCCCAGCTAATTGTTTGCATTTTTAGTAGAGACGAGGTTTCACCATGTTAGCCAAGATGGTCTCAATCTCCTGACCTCGTGATCCACCCACCTTGGCCTCCCAAAGTGTTGGGGTTACAGGCGTGAGCCACCGCGTCCAGCCTAGTTTTTACCCAGTTTCCTATGGTTGCTCTAAGGGATTAAAATCCACAACCTTCCCACATCCTATGTAGAGTAAAATTGTTCTCTTCATATAACACGTTTATAGAAAACTTGCAGCTGCAGAGGACTGTTTCCTGCCTCCCAGCTTTCCTCCCACAGATGGTGGGCACAGCACCATCCCCACATACCCTGCACAAGGCGGTGCCCAAGTTCTGTCTTGAAACAGTCATTGAAAGAGGGAGGAAATCAAGAAGGGGGGGACACAGCTTTTCTATTTATCCCTCAGCGTTTCTGGTGACTTCCTTCTTTCCGGACAGTCCAAGTTCCCCCAAGCAGCCCAGGGGTTCCCTGCTGTTCTGATGAAGTCCACAGCATGGACCCCCAGCCCAAGGCCCACCGTGCAGGTCTGGTTAGGGTTTTCCACAGGAGCGGTGCCTGGGGGAGTGTCCACTACCCCTCCACCATGAATAATTTCAGCTAACATTTCCTGAAATACACGTCCATACATGGCAAGTGCTCTTAGTTTTATTTTTATCAGAAAGTGTCTTTATTTCATCTTTATTTCTGAAGGAAATCTT